TTGAATTTATATTTTAATGCAACAGCTTTATATAAACGGTTTTCACAGATCTGTGTATCAATCTACCCATCCATATAAACAATAATATTTATAAAAGCTTTAAAAAAGCAAAAAACTGCATACTGCCTTATTTTGAAAGTCCCATTGCTATGTTATAAGTCTTTGCTCAGTTATAATTATTCAAAACCTTTTGATCGCTCTGCTTTCTGTTGTACGTGTCAGTCCTATCTAAAGTATAATTTTGCTTCCATATACTATACGAAAGTGACGCACATATGAACATCACTAAGAGAATGATGAGGGTTTGAATATACCTATAGCTGATATTTGTGGGCTTCTACCTACTTACACCTGCATAGGTATCATATCGTTGTCAGGAGTCACTCCTCGCGCCCTCCTAAGTTCGTTCTGCGTTCACATACAACCGCTATGTCATCCTGACTGCCTTATTTAGTCATTCACTTCCCACTTTTCGCTTCTATATTCTAGGTGATAGGCTGACTATCCGTGCACCTCTTAGATCTCGCTCATTCAAAACAGATACATTATAGCTTCCTTAAACCGCTCCCCATCAGAGGCACCACTGCCGTAGCACCCCCTGGGAGATCGTTCCCACCAGCTCCTTCTTTCTCTACATACAAAATTCGCCATGCCAAGTGTCACCTACCTGTCCTAGGCCAAACACCTCCCCACCTATTATTCTCTACCGCAGTTTTCAAAACTGACTTTTGTCGATGTTCGCTATTCTCTCCATCTTCATTCGCTACAAGGCTGCTGTCTCTATGTGCTAGCAAAAGTTTCACTGGCAAGTCCTTGATGCTTTCGGCAGCCTCATCTTCTCTAGCCATCTAAGTTTTAACGCCAACCCGAGTAGCTCGAGCAGCACCATAGCACGAGGTGCACACTGTATGGACAGGGTACGCAAGATAGTAGCACTACTCGCTTTGAAGACAATGTCACCGATATAAGTGTACTGACTTTAGACACAGCTCTACAATATAGCTTGGAAGATTTCGGGCCTACATTGTCGGTTACCGGCAGCCATATAGCTGCCATCAACCGTACCATCATACGGGAAAACAAGGGGAAACAACGAGACAATGACATAACGATATGGATGGATACAATATATGAGATTTGAGATCGTTGGGTTCTTAGATAGAAGGAGAGGGAGAATGCCGCGGAACGCTGGAGCAGATGATAGGGAAAGGCACATAAGGATTGCCTCCATCTTGTATCTCAGTGCAGGCGGCCTGTGTAGCTCATAGTAAGTGGAAAAGGCGTATAGCAATTCCAAAGATGAGATGTAACGAAAATAGTGCAAAGATTTTACTACGACAAAGAACTAATGAATTATGCTCTGTACATAAAATTTGAGTTTTTCAAAAAAGTATCCCTAATATTGTTTCTCTTTCACAAGAAGCTTGCGTTTTCCGGCCAAGTCCCACCGGTAAAAAATACTTTAAGACCATTTCCTCCGTAAATTACTGAATTAATTAGGAAACTCTTTTATTAGTGTTTACTCCTTTTAGAAAAATACACATCAGGGAATCAATATTTCCATTTGAAATGTTAACCCTGAGCTTGCTCTGTTGATCACTCACTTGAGGAAAGTACTTCGTATTTTATCACGCAAAAAAAATTGATTCATACCAACTTTGGATAAGAAAAAATAAAAGAAAATATTCTTTGTTTAACCTATTCATTTTGGACCTATTATGTAGGTCTTAAAAACTTATAAAATATTTTCATGCTTGTCAAATAAAAACATGCTTCACTTGGAGAGACAAGGTTAAAAATTGGACAGATCAGAGGAGAAAATAAACTCTGATCGTATAACTATCGACAGGGACCTTAAATCTATAAGAACAAATGTGAAAACGGTTTAATCTTTTTTTTTTTTGTTTTTTACTTAATTCGAATCTGAGTGACCCATAAAATTTATCATACACTCGTTTCACTATTGACCTAACTAATCTGATTCATTAACGTTACATCTATCCGAACGCAAGTGATTCTTTAGAGACACAGTATTTATCGTATTACAAATATCCTACTTCATCTGTTCTATTACCTCATTGAAATGTTCTAATCATATTCTCAAGAACCGGCGCTGCAGTAACTCATTTATGCCAGTGACAGCGCGTATAAAATACTACGGCTCATTGTCGAACGTCGTGAATAACTTCTAAATAAAAATATTTGTAATGTCTTACGATTCATTAACTTATAATAGTACACATCGTGCTTTTACAACCACCTAAATATATGTGGTCTTTTTAAAAGAAGCAATATTAAGCTGTCCAACAGGTACATAACTGTAAGAATCATAATAATCACAGTCGTTTCATTGGTTTCGAATTTTACTAAACGCGATCACAGCAGTTTGGCTAGAGCCTTATCGGATCTTATCACGTGACGTTCGCTACCGACATGCGCACGTGCAACACTATTCGGTAAGGCTCTTTCAATATTCTTCGACTGCCAAAAAGTTTCGTCTCGCTTAATCTGCTTGACTGCTACTTGTAAGCTATGCGGAGTACCATCAGATGCTTAATTTTCTATCGCTTCCAGAACGTACTGAACGCTTGCTTACGCGAACGCCATAGCGTAGCCAGGTATCGCGGCTTTTTTCACTTGATTAGGTGGTAGTATCAATGGGACTCGCGGTGTTAGAAACACGCATGCAGACAAGGCTCTTGGCTCGTCTTTCTTATATAATATTTAAGTAAGGGGCCGCTGATTTACAATAGCAGTCAGACCTCGTGGACCACCCTCGTGGACAACCAAGAGCCAACCATTTTTTGCAGCCACGTCTTCGTTACGCTGATGAGGTGCTTATGGTATTTCCCCCCACTATGCGCTTTAAAGGGCATTGAAACACAAGAAAATTTCTAGCTGGAAAAATAATTTAAATCTCATCGCTTCAAAGCGTTTTTGAAAAACCTACCAGATCCCTTGATGCCTTTTAGAAAGTGAGCGTGTGTCTAAAACAAATCTCACTGGAATTCCGAGCAACGATGAAACCCTTTGGGCAGGAACCTGTTATCAAATCTTCGATTAGTTTGAAATACGCAGTTCGGACTACAACGCATATGAACAGAGCCGCTCAGACTACTTTGATTCCATTAGCGGTTCTTAACTCTATCGATTTAAAATAGTTGATTCGGATCGATATAAATGAATGAAATGATATCTCCATGCGTTCCGTCAACAATAAAACTTTACAGGGTAAACTGATCTTTGACGCCTCTCCCCGACAGCTTATGCATTCGTGGCTCACCGACTTCACCAATGATGACGCTCGCATGACCTAGTATTTACGTTTCAACTCGTTAAGTACCGCATATCTATTTATACACTCGCGATGGACATTACTACCCCGCAGCTACATGAAGTGACGTATCTCAAACGATCCATTTAGAAGCTACGATCAAACTAAACCAGCGGACTCACCAAAAGGGTTAGAACGAGTTATACTCGCATCCATCGACCCATCACCATGTTTGACACTCGCTGATGCTTTCTCTCTGAACCGCCCTACAGCCTGTTATATTTAAGTGGCAACGTGAATCAAACGCTGCAGTATGGGGAACTTAACCGGATCGATGAATAAGCCGTTCACACATGTAACGAGCATTCGAGCGCCACACCAGGACGGTCGACAAGCGTCACGCAATTTTGACCATAAACCCGGACTCTTAAACCATATGAAATTGTTAGGACCTAAAAAAGTCTAGTAAAGTTTTAGGACAGGATTCTGACATTCGAAGGAGTTAGAACTCAAAAATGTAACTTCAGCGACTGAGTAGTTCACGTAGAGTGTCTCTAGATGAACACGTATCTACTCTACATCACCCACACAAGATCTACAAGTATGAATTATATTTACTTGGACAATAAGATATTTTTCATTTTACATAAAATATATTGTCATCTCTGTCCGTTACCTTTGCATATTTCGACTCTTAACGATTTATTAGCATATTTATTACTACTGGTGTTCAGCATTTGCTTCAACATCATCACGAATGGGCCTAACAGTCCTCGTAGATCATAAACCCCCGTGCATGCTCTCATAAACGTTTACGTAGTTGGAGATGCACTAGCTACAAACAATTGCATGCTGCACGGGAAAAAACCAAGACATCCCTTTTTGAATTTCACACTACTCCGGGCACCTTTATGATGCCTTATGGTCCTCTGCGCACGTTCCTATTAATAGGCGGAATTCAGGGCAGTTTGAAACTTTTTTACCGACGTTGTGTGTAGAACCGCTCAATGCTACCCTTAAACCGGTCAGTTGCAGCAGCAAAATCAGTTGCTTGACCGAGCTACGGCTACACGCCTAATGACTTCAAGGAGAAGAACTGTTTCGCATCAAGCGTTGCTCTTTGTTGTTACTACTACATACTATCTAGTCGGATCAGCAGCACAGGATCAAAGCGAGTGCCTGCGGCCAATGTGCCATCAGCTAATTCGCTTCGGCAACCGTGTGACACGCAAAATAGATCCGACGCATTTAGCAACAATTTGACAGTTCGTGCTCGATCGATTCGCCTAGGCAAATCGAACGAGTCCTGACGCGTAGTTAACTTACCGCCGTGAGGAGGAGGCCTGTGGTTAACGTGTCGACCGCTAGCACAGTAGCATAGCGAACGACTGCTAATCGGCGTCACTTTGACGATTCACGTTCGAACACATGCAAACAGAGCCATTCGTATCCAGGAGCTAAAGAGTATTAGCAAGACAGCTATTTGGTAGAAATCTGGTTGCACCTTTTACATGAATATAACCGCAGCCTCCAATCTGTCCCATGAACAGCGGTTTTTTGTTACCGTTTCGTACCATGAGTTTTAAGGCTTATTGTACACATATATGATACCTTTTGACGTAACCTTTTTTTACGTTCATTAGAACAGTGACCCTTTTCCAACCAACGTAAACACAACCCCTTTTGTCTAATTGTATTTGCCTTTGTTTTTGGGCGGAATCAATAGGTTTACACCTCGACGACATCTGCCTGGCCCCACAAAAGACACACTCATTAGCATCCGTAGCCTCACCGCTGCGATCGGCCTGATCATTCTGCACAATAGCACTGGCCCTCGCATTATTCCGACTGAGGCCATCCAGGCTGTAACTGCCCTTGCAATAGCTTGCACCGTCATCTGGGGAAATTTCGAAGGTAATACAGACAACGCCGACGGTGCCTGTGAGTTTTTCGCTTTTCGGTGTGACTCTGTCCCTGGGCAGGACGTGTTCCGTGCCACGGGCATGAACTTTTTTCAGGAGTCGCTGGTGGCGGAAATGCTTCGTACACTCCTTGCGTAATCCAGTAAAGTAGTGTGGATTCCAGATCTGCAGCCCGAAGCCTAGTTTACTTAATGGCAAGATTTGATTACCCACTAAAATTGCTCACCTCCAAAGAAGTGTATGTGTGTTTAAAGTGTTTGCAGGAGACCCTTGGAGGCCATGAAAACCAAGGCTAGCTACGAGTCAGTGTTCACGCTTCGCGAGAGAGAAAGATAAGGTGGAAAGAGAGGATAACAAAGAGTGAGAAGAGGATAGAGGAGAGGACGGAAAGCTCAGCCTAACACGCTTGGTTGATCCAATAGGCGTATGGGTTCAGTTTTTTTTTGAAAACCTAATCTACAAACTGCCGCATTTTTACCCAATTCCTTTTGAAATTGAGCATCATGGGGACTCAGTAGTCAACAGTGGGAAAGAATCCCATTCTGCCTCCAGTTCTCCTCTGAGGTTCTCAAAAACTACGCACTCCCAGGAAGTGTCTCCAACCGAGTCATTTACAACCCCATTACAGTACGTACAGACACCGTCCGGTGACTTACACATCCAGGACTGATAGTATTCAAAGAATCCGTGCCCACTGAACATATACGTCAAGCCGAACGTTATTTACCAATGCCTTCTTGTGACCGACGTGCTAACATCCTTAATCAGTCTCCTTGTGATTTTGACTCATCTGATCTTACTGTTATCCTTCCTGCTACTTCTACAGCGTGACGGTTCTGATGTCCTGCTTTTTTTATTCGTCTGTTCAGGTATCTCGTCGCTCATTCGTGTACCAATAGCTCCGACGAAACTTGCCTGGTGGTAACCGTTACTGCATCAAAAAATATAACTAAATTTATTCATATCGCTACCTCTCTCTGTACCCTCTTAAGTTTGGCAGGGTTTTTTTCTTGCATAGATTCCTCCTCCATGTATGTGCTCCGTGGAGAACAATTAAAACCATTGATGCTAGGATCCTCTGAAATCTGCGTTTAGACCCGTTCACGTTAGGTAAGACCTTTGACTATTAGTTTTATGAATGGCTTTGTTAATAGCATAATCAACATGTGCTCCTCCATTTAGCATATTATTTAGAATTGTTCCAAGATATTCTTGGTAAAATCGTGAAGCTATATAGATTTATATTTAGGCCGCCAGCCTTCATACGCCTGCTAAACGTTACCAACCTCATCCTTTCCGAAGCGAGTTGGAAGCCATGATCTGTAATCCAAGTGTTTACGTGTCACAGGTATCGTTAATATTGGACTAAGATATCTTGTGTTTCCTCTCATTACTTTAGCTACTAGATTATCAATAAATGCCACCAACTCGGCCGAGTATAGAAGGTTCTGCTAGAGAATGTTCTATATTTTATAATGAACTCTACATTTCAGGGAAAGAAAACCATGCACTGAGCTCTGAGACACTTCTCTCGACATACGATACGTAGTTCTTTCAAACAGTATATTGTATATCATTTAAGTTACCCGCGCTGACCTCTGTGGAAAGAGTCCAGCATAAGTCCCGTATGGTTTTCTACGGTGTGAAGTTGAACGCGTTTGTAACATGAAATGCCATTAGGACACAAAATCTTCTTTTCCATTTCGGCTTTCGCTACTTCCAGCAGTAGCCACACCGGCCTATGGGCTCACAGGTTATCTTTATCCCTATCGGTTTTAAGTAGCACGATAAGATTTGCGTACTTCCAATACGTTGATAATAACCTAGACGTCTATGTATCGTCCATAACCTCTGCAAAAATATTTAGTCCTATAAATTTTTTAACTAAGCTTGGTGGGCGCTGAATTCGACGGCTTGAGTAATTTGCTCCGCTAATGTACAAGGTATCTGGGACGGATGCCGGGGCCTAGTAGGGTATTCCTAGGATTATTATTAGGAGGAAATAGCCCTGAAAATTCAGGTTTTAATTACGGATAGGGTTAGAGTTAGACTTCTTTCTCATGACTGTCTTAGAGGCTCGTCCCCACACGTCTGTATTCAACAAAGCTATGAGTTTCTTCCGATGAACTGACCGATTTGCTTTGATGAGTGTTCTCAACTTCTACTTGAGTACCTGGAGTTTCTATTAGTCCTGGTAATAATAGGGCAACATTCTTCTCGTTAATGATCTTCTAAAACGACACACAATCTCCATTTATTAATAATGGAATTCAATTAGTACTTCTGAGGACTGAACTGCCGTTCTCCTTTCTATACTGCTCTTCCAGCTACTTAGCACTGCCGTGAATCTTTGTGTTGCCCACCCCACTGAGGACTTACCAATGCGCTCTGTGATCTCAGACAGTGTACGTGGATTAATGTTTATTTTAGGGCAAAAGGTCGACGTGTTTTTATTAACGCGGATAGTGATGCTGTATGTTATTAAGACAATAATCAGAAGGGCTTTCAGATTTTTGTCTGGCTGTGCAAACGATTATACTACATAAAACAATGGTAGAAATATTTATAAGAAAAATTGCCAGGAAAAACTTCCCGCCAAAACGTGTGAGTGCCATTATCGGTTATATATAGCTCATTTGCTGCGTTTCCCCTAAAGCATAAACCTTTCTAATACTTCGGTGCTGTCAAGTGCTTCAATAAAAATTTGCGCGATTGCCAAAAACGTTTCATAAACATATTCCCTTGGGTGCAGTATTTTTTTGCAAAATATGAAAAAGAGCCTTAATCCGATAAATCTTAATCGATTCTGTCGCTCTTTGAGAGAGTCAAGAGTGGACAGTTGATTGCAAAGTGCTGCCTAAGACACGTGTTGGCTCTCTTCGTGTAAAGTACCCAGCTGATTTTTGTGCGCAAAAAATCCGATCTTATTGCTTTGTTTTTTTTTGGTTGGCCAGACGCTAATGCACGCTGCTCCAAATCGCGATAGTTTGGCTCACAAGTCATGCAAGCGTTGAGAGTTAAGCTATATTTCCGCAGGCAGATACATCCGACCAATTTCGTGTGCTACAATGAAAATTTATCCGGGCTTCTCCAATCAAAAAGATAAGTTTTTATTCACAAGCGTCATTATTAACATAATAAGGTTTATTGATACTACTCCATGACATAAAACTCAAGTCTCCATTCTTAAAACCAATTTATTACTTTCGGACTGAGGATTTCATAACAACTGAGGACATAAATGCGGTTATTATATTGATACTCTGTATCAAGCCATCGTATTTTTTTAAAACATAAGCTTGCAACCACAGCTTCAAACAAAATCAACGCTAGCGGACCGTTATGTCTTTATTGTAAATGTGTCTTCAGGGCCAGCCTTCTCTCCACTCAAAACGTTCCTCACTACAAAATTAAATCAAAAAATCTAAACGAACTTTGCCTGGTTATAATTGTATTCATTAAGTGCGATTAAAT